CCCTAACCCTTCCTCCTTCTCCTCAGCACTCGCCATCCCCTAGTCCCCACTGTAGGTGTTCGCCACCCAAGACTCTGTCTCAGCTTTCCTGTCTTCCTTAACAATCTCCCCTACTTCCAACTTCAACTCTACAGAGAAAACTCCCAAATCCCTTTTTCTAGGAGCCTCAACCGCGCTCACACATTCTAGGCCTAATTCCTAACTACCTATTTCTTTTCTTTTTATTTTTTTCATGACTATATTCTGCAAACATTTATTATATTTATATAATAGATGCCATGGATTACCAGTGGACACAGTAGAAGAGGTCTCAACATTTCTTTCCGTTTGTTCAGATAGCTAAATGAATTTTGTTTCTTATAATTGTCTTATAAAGCAGTTTGCTTTTATACTGTATATGAAATTTAATACTAGGCAAATATAGTTGAGGGGAATCCTAACTACCTATTTCACTGAATTTCTCAAAGAAAATATTGGCCAACGCATCAAGTTCAAGGCTCCCCAAAATAAAGGTGCCTTCTCCTTCCAATTTGCTTTTTTCTCTGTCAATAGGCTCAGGATTCACCCTCCCAGTCACCAAATCTCAAAGGATCCAGTAACCACATCCTCCTTAAAGCCTCAGATAACCTCCTCTCTATTCCCTTTTCCAGCTAAACCAAACATGCGCACTCAAATTCAGTTATTTCAACAACCTGGGGATGATACTGCTACAACATTTTCCCTATCGTGTACCTCTTCTTTCCCATTCCCTTAATGTCTACCCTTATAGCACAGTGGTTAAGACACAGACTCAAGCTAGATTCCCCCAGGTTCAAATCCTAGCTTCATCAGTAAGTGGCTTTGGGCTCGTTCCTATACTCTGAGCCTCACTGTCTTCATTAGTAAAATTAGAGTAATAATAGTTCCACTTAGAAGGCTCATGAGGATTAAGATGAGATCATATATATAAAATTAACACACTAATTGCTAATAAATATTAGCAATTTTATTATCATTTCTACCTACTTCGAGCCTTCATCATCTTTTGCCAGGATACTCACAATAGCTTCCTAAACTGCTCTCTGCTACTATTGCTGTGAAGTTGGTTCTGTCTCATAATGATGCTACATAGATATGCACAGAACAAAACGCCACTCAGTCCTGTGTCACCCTCCCAATCTTGCTATGTTTGGGCCCACTGTTGCAGCCACTATGCCAATCCATCTTGTTAAAGGTCTTCCTCCTCCTTGTTGACTCTTTACTAATGTCCTTCCCCAGGGACCCACCCTGCTACTAGTCTCTTAAACCACAATTAATTCTACTGTTTCACAACCTTCATCTATGCATTAGGATTGTGACAAGAGCACAATGGTGAAGAAATGTAACCATTTTTTAACAGCAAATGATTTTATATGGATAAACTAGAGGACATGAGAAAGGCAATGATAGCTGTTGAGGATGGAATAACAGAAAGAAGGAAGTGGGCCTTGAACTCAAATTCAAGAATTACAGAACAGTGTCACTGGAAATTTGGTACCTACCATTTTATATCAAGGACTGAAGGTGGCAGAGCACTTATTTAAAGCTAACACAGCAACACTACTGCTTTTAAATGGGTTAAGCTGTTCCAATACAGCAGTAGAGACAGCACAAATAGCTGCTGCTTCTACAATTTACTTACAGTACGTAGGGCAGTGGTTCTCAACCTTTCTAATGCTGCGACCCTTTAATATAGTTCCTCATGTTGTGGTGACCCCCCCCAACCATAAAATTATTTTTGTTGCTACTTCATAACTAAGTTTGCTACTGTTATGAATCTAATGAAAATATCTGATATGCAGGATGACCCCCAAAGGGGTCACTTGACGACCCACAGGTTGAGAACCTCTGGTCTAGCTTATCTGTTTATTATTTCAAATGAATCTATACAAATGTCTTCTGCATTTGAAATTCTATTTGCATTCTTCCAAAAAGTAAAATATTAAGATCTGGGGCTCTTTGGAGGATATTGATTATTTCTAGTAGAGAAGAAAATGGTTCAAAATCCTGACAAAACTATGAAACACCAAATTAATTTAATATTCAACCTGCTTTGCAGTTATGACAATGCTGGTGTGCTTCATTTACTTTTCATAGTTTCATTACTTCATTTTATGCCCACAACTTATTTCTAACTATCCTTCAAGAAATTTTCAAACATATAGTTCCAAAGTTGACTACTTTTTAATCTATCAAATATTAGAAAGTTTCTGAAGACTCTCACCATCATTGACAAAGAAGGGATTCTAGGAAAGCATACCCTAACAACACACTAATTGTCTTTAATAACCAGCTGAACCCTCTAGGTAAAACCTTCAAAATAAAGATTTTTCTATTAACCCTTGCTGCACAGTAGATTCTGCAGAAAAAAAGTTAAAGTATTTCCAGTACAAAAAAATTGAAATCTTAAAAATTTTCCTTAACCATATCTTATTACTTTTTCTCACTTCCATTTCTTATTACGAAATCACCCTTTTAAGGTCTTCTATGTCATCCCCTCGTCAATATGGGTTTTTTTATCCATTTCAACAGCTGCAAAGGCAACCAGAGGAAAATGAGCCAAGATCTTCCAACTCTTCAAAGAAAACCCAAAAACAAACACAGGACTTTCAACATGTGCTATTTGCACACTTTTCACACTTGCAGAAAAAGAGAAAAGATGACATTGCAGAGTAGCATCAAAAACAAACTCATGGGTCAGAAAAACCTGAACAGCAAACAGAATCCCCCTCCTTCCAGATGTTTAATCTTGTGTAAATACTTTTTTCTGAGCCTGTCCCCTCTGCAAATGAGATCAATATTTGCCAATGTGATGGGACTACACAAAGCCACTGATTATGAACTAGGCATATGCCCACCTTAACCAATACTTTACCCTTTAAAGTCAGACGGAACGCAAAACAAAAAAATTGTTTTACCCCTCTAAGCACTAGTGTTTCTGTTTTTGTTTTAAACAGGAAACATAGTAACTAATCTCAGAATCCTAGTCAATTCCTAATGTACAACTTCATGCAAAGCATATCATGCAATGCCTGGCCCCCAACAGATTCCACAGTTAAGAGATTTCCTTCACTTTCTTTCTCATTCAAGTGTGTTCAATGTGGATTCATCCAGTGATCCAGAATCAAGTTCACTTGCCTGACACATTGCCAGAATGTAGGACATTTTCTGGTTAGTCTCTGTAAAGAAGCCAGGGCACAACTTAGACATCTGCACTAAGAGTCTCCTCTCCGTTTCAGGGGGAAAGAGAAAATATTTTTGTTATTTCCCCTGACTTCCATTTTGCACAAATTACTTTTCTGCAGCGGTTCCTACAAAAATTTCTATCTTTGCTACAACATCTAAATGTCTTCATTTCCTCTCTAAATTGGCTATTAGCTTCAGTATGCAACTTAGGGTAAAACCAAGATAGAGGTTGTTATTCCCACTAATGTTTACTTCAGTGATGTCAGAAATTTGTAAAAGGTAACATTTAGTGTACTTCTACTATGGATTATTCTAGACATTCTGCTCCAAACAAATCTTTAAAACTGAAATAATTGGTTATATCTGGTTATTATATCTGCTCGTTGTTATATCTTTCTTTATCCTCATGGCAGCTGGAAAACCTGTTATCACCTTCCTACTTCAGTATCAAGCAAGAGAATTCAAATAAAACTAAGGCTATCCTAAATATATCATTATGCCAGCGTGACCTTTCCCCCAAAACAATCTGCCAAACATTAAGATCCATCTGCTGTTTAATAACGTGTGCACGCTCTGGGAAGGCTCCACTGCGTATACATTCAAGGCAGCAAGACTGAACTCAACCATTTAAACACGTATTTTCCTAATCCTAAAATAGGAAATAAAACCATCCTGGGGGGAAGAGGGCCACCACCTGTATTTAATATCTGAACAAAGGTTTGTCATTAACAAATTTTTCAACAAATATTTCATGTACCCCAAACACATCAATTAGAGGGCAGAAATTATGCAGATTCCTCTTCAAAGTTACCACACAGGAGCTTTTTCAAATGAAAGGCAGCTCTCTAATGACTAAAGCCTTGTAGAAACAGCACAGGCTCCAAAAGCAAACCTGAAGAGAATTCCAACAGGAGGCCCTTTTCCTGTTATTTTGCAAAGATTAGGTAAAGGCCCGCATGTGCAACTGCTACTGCACTGTACAATGTCTGTGTCAACAGCACATGCCTGAAACACACACACACACAGTCTCCTATTAAAAAATATGACACGAATTTCAAAACAGAAATGTTTGAGAGAAGAAGAAAAAAGAAATGCTTGCTCCTCTTAACTCATAAAGCCAAAATACACTGGGAGGCGGAGGCGGGCCCGGTAAGAATGCCTATCAATGAACATATCAAAAGAAAAGAGCATGCATGCTAAGTCGGGGGAGCTAAATGTTGGTTTCAAATAACTGGTTTAATAAAGTCGGATGTGTGGCTGGAGCGATGATACCGGCTTCAAGAATGACAACATAAATCGCCCTGCGACCCAGGCCACCTTCCAGCTCACGGAGCCCCGAGAGCAGCCATCATCGCAAATGTCAAAAGCATGCTGCTGCTCTAGCCTGCTTCTCCCAATAATAAAGAAATCATCTCGGATTGCTGGGTGGTGCGATCGAAATGCTGACGGAAGGGGGAATGTTTGCAGCACACTGGGGGCAACACCACAAATTAAAACCAGTCCGGGTAAAAACATGACAAGGGGGAAATTATGACAAGACTGCTGAGTGGGGTGTCGGGGGAAACCACTCTGCTCTCCAGTAACACAAGGCTGGCCAATTTCCACCTGACAGCCCCGGGCCCTTCAAGGAAACCCAGCCTGTCTGGACCCATCCTTTTCTCCTTTTCCTCGGGTCACCCCCACCGGATTCCCGGAATGTGGACGCGAAGACACGCAGGGAGAATTCGACGCTCGGCCACCCAAGCCCGGCCCCGGGACCTCCTGAGAAGGCAGGGGGAAGGGAAGGCGCGACTCACCTGTCCCAAAGGCTTTGGCCACCAACCAGGCCAGGTTGCAGGCGATTTTGGCCCTGGCGAAGTCGTAGTGGTCAAAGGGCTTGATGGCTGGGACAATGAAGGTCTTCCGCAGCTCCCGGGGCTCGGCGGCATCCCCCATCTTTCTCGGCGGCTGCTCGCGAGGTCCGGCCTCGGACCT